AATTTTAGCCTCATTTCATGAATCAGGGCATACAGTTTGACTTCAAGTTTTTAGTAACACGTAAAGCTAAGAACTATGTCCTCGAAATTTCGGCTCCTGGTTTTCATATTTTTAATGTTGAATCAGGCACACATACCGATGGAAAGGACAAACCACATTCGCGAAAATAAGTAGAAGTAATTCATTCTACTTTGGTTTCGAAGTAAGGCGGTGTAACATAGTTTTAGCGCTCGAAGCGAAAAAGCTGGGAGTACAAGTGCTGAAAAGGCCAAGTTGGAGGAAGAAGCTAGCAGATGGAAGCTTTGAAATCCTCGCAGACGTGCTTGATGAATACCGCCGTTACAATGCAGAACTTAATGTGCTCGCATATTGCTCGCAGTTTATTCCGTTGGAAGTGACGGATGCGCCGCGGTACAAATCGATCGTCTATCATCCGTCGTTGCTACCTGCCCATCGGTGCCTCCTTATCTTACTTGTGTTTCTACATCTACGTTAGATGAATATTAAAGCAGAATTGATGGATCTGTCGTACTGCTTCAATCCCTCCTAATGCGATCAGCTAATCTTTGTTTTCTTAGGGAAAAACACACTTTTTGCGGTCACTTCTTCAAACTTATGTGTAGTCATTATATTGTGAGATTGTAACAACCAGCAGCCTACCAAATTGAAAAATCTGGTTTTCTTGACGGAAACCAAAATTTTCATGACCGTAACAAGTAAAAGCCAAATGTGTGTAACCGATAATCATTTACTGAGCTGCACTGTGCTTGTGGGACGCTTTTATAAAGTGAGACATGGAGCGAAAAATGTAGTCATCAAAAAGTTGATTATTCAACGATTTCGTGCAAAAAATCTGAACTACTTACTACTAAGTGAGAAAAGGGTGAAGAAAATGTTTATTCTTGAATTCAGAATTGACTTTTCTTCCTGAAAACAACGCCCGCACCGCACTGACGATTAGCAAGCATAGACAGAAGCCTGCTGCTAGAAATATGGAATCATCCAACTGGCAATTACAGTCATTTAAATTTTCCACTTTCGCTGTGAGTCGATGAATCCGAGTTCCTCTTTATGCTGTTTCCGAACCCTAACAGCTCACTACAGTTCAGCTGAAGCACACTCACTGATCTTGCCCACTCACTGCCTGTTTATCTTGTTAGATTAAATACAGTGTTGCATTCAAATTGCAGGGGTGCATCGGCAATAAACTGGACACTGATCTGTGGTGATGAAAATGCTGGCCTTACAGTATTCTGGCCAGATAGCGGCCTGGACACAGGGCCAATCCTGCTACAAAAATCGACAAAGGTTGCAGAAAACGATACGGTCACCTCAATTTATACTCGATTTCTTTATCCAGCCGGTATTGAGGCCATGGTAATTCAGATCATTATTCAGTTTTCGTACTGCAAAAAATAATCTGCAGTCACACAGTAATACTGCAGCAGCAAACAGTAGTGTCGCTGAAGTGGAAAGATAATCTCAGAGGCCCGTATCATCGACAAATGGGGAAATTGACAACTGATCCTACTGTGCTTTCTCTGTCTGTGATCACTTGCTTCTCCGTAACTGTTGAACTGAAATCTGGTGTCTTAGGTAGAAGCAGTGGAACTCATAGCAGCTGGAAAGGCACCGCGTATACCGCAGCCAGAAGAAGGAGCTTCTTATGAGCCTCATATAACAACGAAGCCAATTCTTGCACAGCTTGACTGGAACAAAAATCAGTCTCAAATGCATAATTTTATACGTGGAAACGATGCAGTATGTTGTGTTTTGTTTGATCTGCTAGGTGAATAGACTTTGAGGGGAATATTGCACGGCAGGGCTCGGGCAATTGAAGTCGACACAATTATGCGCTTTGCAAACTGTGGCTCCTATTTGACTGAAGCACCAAAACATACAAGATCTTTTAACCGATCCAGCTACAAAAACAGTATAGGCTATCTCCTTTTTTGGGCTTTTGTACTAGCCTGAAATTGAATGTGCGAAATTATTGGGTTCTGAAGAGTTTGGAGTAAGCTGGCGTTTCAGATCCCTGGTGCTTGGGTTATACTCAATGGTAAAAAAGTGATGCTGTTCTCGTCAAAACGCTACAAGAAAAAATCATTGCCACGAAATGCGAAAGAAATTGCGGTAATGGAAGCCCCCGGAGGTAAAGTGTATGTGCATCCGTACGGGTTGTTGCTTCCCACCAGTGACGGCAAATTTGTAAGTTCATTACTTTCACGATCGGTTTATTCACCAAAGCGTAGCACTCACAAGATGACGAAAATACTGTTTCAGTGTTTGCAGTTATTTTTCGATTCGTCTCACCTCACAAGTTACTTAACTTCATCTAGCCCGTTTTTATTGGAAGAAGAACTATTCCATTAATTAGACGACTGCATAACTCAAGAAGATATTTATGCTATCAGTAGTTGGCGCTCGAATCGTTGTTTCGTCACTGTCAGGCAATAACAATTGGGGATTTCGCTTTTTGAGCATGTCCAGTGCGCAGCTCCGCTTCTCCACATATTTATCATTAACAGAATGCACCAGGCTTGCCGCTGCGATTATGCGTTTTTGCATCAGCCTTGAAGTAATGAGGTCGCTAATTGCATAAATGATTGCTGCTTGACACCTACCTTTGCGCTCACTAGCGTAAATCATCGTAAATTTTGCATAAAGGAAATGAGCAATTTCCGTCTAATTTTCCTTGTTAAAGCGTCCTAGCTGTTCAGTGAGTAATTTCCCCGTCAAAACTTTAAGCGCCCATACGTAAGAACACACATATTTGGAGGCTGAATTTGAAATGTTTAAGGGGCAGGGAGCAGGGAGCATTTGGGCAGGGAGTATTCGTCTAAAACTTCAGCTTTCTAGCTTTTTCCGTTCCCGAATTAATAATTTTCCTGCCAAAACATTCACATGCCCGCGCGTAAGTACTACGGGTGGCGGGTGGCCAAATTTGAAACCGTTAAGTTGTACATGGGTGAGAAATATACTCTTAAAATTCTTCCAGCTTTTCAGTTACCGAGTTAGCAATTAGCCCGGCAAAACTTTCACGTGCTAGTAAGTGAGAACCATGAGCACCTAAGGGCTGAGTTTGAAATCATGCATAGAGAATATCCCTGCAAGATTTCAGCCCTCTATTCTTTCTGGTTCTCAAGATCGCTTTCCCGCCGAAAAATCTGCGTATTTCCTTAAAGCATCCATACGCGGCAGTCAGACGTACGCGGAAAATGGTATTAAAAGACGAGGGTCGCACATGGTGTACGCACAAGTTCCAACCTTCCAGCTTTTCTAATTCTCGAGTTGAAGGTGGGTGACAAATAATGCTAGCACACAGGCACACACACAGACATACAAACAAACACACATACAGCCTCTTGCCAGTATGCATTTTTATGTGTTTTTACTGTGCAGCGCTATAGCGCTGCTACAGCCAGCAAAACGCATATTGTCGAGAGGCTGTTTGTGTGTTTGTGTGCGTGTGTGTGTATGTTCGGATGCAAGTGAACTTTGTCACCCACTTTCATCTCAGCAACCGGGAAAACTGGGAGGCCGCAATTTTGGCTATATATTCCTACCCCGTGTGTCATCCTCCCGGTTTGAAATTTTCGCTCATACTCGCTTAGACTCCGTGTACGTATCCCCAAAAAATATGCAAACTTCTTTGGTGGGAAACGATTTTGCGAACCAGGCAAGGTACAAAGCTGAAACTTTGCAAGGTTATTCTCTGTGCATGTGCGAGCTAAAGATTTCAAAATCAGCTGTCGCGTACGCCTGTCCAGCGCGTACTATCACGTCAAATTTTGCAATTGGTACTGTGCTAACTCGAAAACTTGCCAGAAAACAGTGGCTGAAATTTTGTCAGCATATTTATCATCTATATGGGAAATTGTAGACCTAAATTGAGTTCCGAATTGCACTTGCGCCACAATTTAGAGTGTTTCGAAGATATTTGTAGCGAGGTGGCTATTTCGCTTACTGAATAATATGCGAGGGTGAGCCTTTGCTGGTATATTCTACTTTCAAGTGCGGTTTTAATTCTGCTTGGAAGTAAAATTCCCTGCTGGTAGTTACGAGGAATACTAAACTTTACTAAAAAATCAGAAACGAGTGCGTTTTGCAGCGAACAACTGCCCTCAACCAAATATGTAAGTGAACATTTAGTTCATTTGCATACTTGGATTTTTTGACGAACGACTGCTTTAGCAACATTTCCAATTTTTTGTGATCTGGAAATTCGCATTTTTTCAAAAAGCGAGCAATTACCGAAAAAATGACCGAACTTCATGCAAGAAACTGGTAATCATGTACCTGAAGGTGCATGCGGTCCTATAATGCAACAGCTTCATCCCAATCGACGCCCTTTCTCCTACATGCCGGAAGATGCCAGGCGCGGCCAATATTAGCCCAAGCGTTAGGCTACAGCGCAGGGATCATTCCTGCTATTAGCGATCTGCGAATTTAGTGCAAAAACGCATGATCGCACTGGCAAGCCTGGTGCATTCCAGCCTGGCTTGCATTTGCATGGGTGCAAATACGCATAAAAACCAATGCCATTTCCGGAAGTTATCTAAAATTTTTATAAAATTTTGTAGCCAATTTCAATATATCACTTAACAAATTGTAAAAGAACTGTTTTTAGCACTAGAGGCAATTATTTAAGCTGTAAAGTTGGAGCACAAACTACATACCATCTTTAATCAACCTGA